CTTTTATATACCCATTTCAGAAAAGTTTTTCAGAGCCAAAAGCGATAGGAAATAGGTGATAGAATAACTGGAATAACGTTTCTTTTTCATTATCATGAATATTTTCGTCAAAAACACGGAGTTTGGTTATGAGGTATCCATACAGCGATGTTTGTAGTCGACGAAGCCATTTTAAGGATCTCCATTATTTGTGTTTAAATGTATGCCCATAAGTACTTTCTCTCACCCCCTTTGGTAAATACGCAGCCAGTAAGTCCTCCACTGGTCATGACTGGGAAGCTCATTGAGACCATGTAAAATGCGCTATATAAGAACCCCGTTATTTCGCCTTTCGCTCCGACAATCGTTTTTGAAATAAGTGTGTGGTAACCTATAAGCCTCGTTTTTATATATCGTCAAAGGCACAACAATATCTGATTTTGCAGGCACAGCTGTTTCACAATTTTACCTCAGTCAATTTTGTATTCCGCGTGTAGTCGTAAAAACGAGGTATTGAATTACAAAGTCATTGCCGAGGCATGTCCCAAGGAGAAGTCTTCCCATTTATTGCAAAATAATTGACAGAAGTTTGATCAGATTATTTTAATAAATGTGCTTGAGTAAATGTTTACGTAAGTATTATTCGTTTGTTCGGTTTCAGAAGTAGATTAAGGCCCTTTCTAGACGCCGCTCCACTCAAGTGCCGAACTTAATAGATGAATTAAGTCCGAATAAAGAGCGGCGATTCACTCATTTTGTTAAGGCAGTTTTATTTTAGCAAGTAAACACTGCGGTCGAGGTCGGCAGGGCTTGTCGCATTATGCGACACTGGAGAAACAACTGCATAACGGCGCTCTTGCATCATTTTCCGAACGGTATACAAGAATTATGAGTAACTTCCTCCCCCACGTAAAGAAGGGAATTAGGTTTGACACAAGTGCGTCTGAATCGTCTGTTGCACCGAAGTCGAGCTTACTTGTGATACTGAAGTTCGGAAGATGAATTTGAATGCAGCGGCGTTTGGAACGGGCCTAATTAAGCTATTAGTGTTTTAGGGGACGAAAATATGGAAATATGTCAGTCTAGATCTAAAGCAATCCCAAAATGCACATTTTTATTAATCAATTTTTTGGATTTCATTACGTGTTTTATTCTGATTGATATATCATGTTGTAAGTGCATCACTGCGGCTTGATTGCATACATTTGGGTGTAAATTTCTTTTGTTTCTCGGCTTGATGAATCAGATATACCAATGCAACTTACTGATAAATCGTTCCTTTAAACATAATAATGCAACACATTTCTACAACTCCAGAACGGCTAATAGGGGCCAGCTGATCTGAGAGAAAATGTTAGNCACAGACTCCAAAAAATAATCGTAAAAATATCATACTTTCGTCCTGAATATCGAGAAAACACTTCATACAGTGATTATTGGACCTTTAAAGAGTATTCTTAGGAAGTTTCAGCTGAATCCAAGTTTGAGCGATTTTCGTCGTAGTAGCACGCAGCATGCAATGATGTTTGTAGTCGACGAAGCCATTTTAAGGATCTCCATTATTTGTGTTTTCGGTCTCGTAATTCTCTATCTCTCATCCCCTTTCGCCTTTCGCTCCGACAATCGTTTTTGAAATAGGTGTGTGGTGACCTATAAGCCTCGTTCGTATGTCGTCAAAGGCACAACAATATCTGATTTTGCAGGCACAGCTGTTTCACAATTTTACCTCAGTCCATTTTGTATTCCGCGTGTTGTCGTTAAAACGTTTAAATGTTTACAAGCAGTCCCAAAATGCACATTTTTGTTAATCAATTTTTTGGATTTCATTACGTGTTTTATTCTGATTGATATATCATGTTGTAAGTGCATCACTGCGGCTTGATTACATACATTTGGGTGCATCATTATAATAGACCCCTTTCGAATTCCAAATTACCGCTGTGTTTCTTGATTACAGACTCATTTGCACAGGGTTAGCCTCGCGTTTGTGCAGAATATTCACGTGTTACAGTCAAGGTCCGTCGAGTTTTAAAGTGTTTGTATCGTTGAAGTTGTGCATTCTTTACTTTACTGTTGGTATTTGTGAATATTTAAACACTGATACAAGGCTAACCCTGTGCAAATGAGTCTGTAATCAAGGAACACAGCGGTAATTTGGAATTCGAAACTGGTCTATTGCTATTCCAAAAATCATACATAATCAGCCGTTCCTAGGAGTTTGAGAAGGCTTTGCATCGTGGGGCTGTTTAAGGGGACGCTTTGTTGCTTTTATGGTGTCTTTTTTGGCTTGTTGATCGAGAAAAGGGAAAGAAAAGTGATAGGAATTAAACCTCAATTGTCGTGTTAATTTTCAAATTTCTTTTGTTTCTCGGCTTGATGAATAAAATGGCAATGCAGCTGACCAAGAGAAAATGAACTAAAAGAAGGAATCCCCGTGCCTCATCATGTGCACACTTTGATGCTATTTTTAGAATCATTGATGCTATTTTTAACTCGTTACCATGCCCGCGCGATAATCATGCTTCCCTTATGCCTCGTTTTAGGACACGAAAAGCGCCATATTTCGCTAAGTCCACGACAAAAACACAGGCTTTGTTTACTTCAAGACTGGAAGCCGCCTACCCTCAAGAAA